GCACACCTTGCCTCCTTAGCCTCCTCTTCTTCAAGCCAAATATCCGGACTTTGGAGAAGATGTCGACCAGGTTCCCGTTGCACAGCCCCTGCTTCTTGCCGGGGCTCTTCCGCCGCCGGTGAGCGGTCGGTCGGTGGGCGTGTTGCTCCCTCGCCTGCCGCTTCTGGCGGATCAAACCGCTGGCGATGGCCGCTGCCATGTCTCCGCTACGAAAACAGCCCCGTCTCCGTCCGCGTCTCCAGACTCGTCGCTGTCCACCGGAGGGGGACGGAGCGCAGACAGAACCAGGCGCTAACCCTCCAGTCCTCGTGTGACCGGCTACAACAGCCCCATACTTGCACGACAAGGAGGGTAAAGTCACAAATAAATTAAAAAAGCCTCACCTTACAACATATTCTCTTGTTTTTATCGTCCCTTTCAGGCCATAGATGTGAAACGCGCAGCGGTTTACCTGTCCGTCACGTTTCACCGGTCTGTCTGTCAGTCAGATAACAACAGCTGTCACTGGACGGCTCCTCCAGCCAATTCTCCCGGACCTCGTCTGTCAGTTCCTGCTCCCATGGTGGTCAACCGGCGACACGAGCGAAAACATCGGAGAGAGAAAAAGAAGCTCGCAGAACGCCCTCAGAAAGCARTTATGTCCCTGTTCTCTGACAACAACAAAAAAAAGGTCTGTTTGTATTCCGCTGACTGAAGCGCGAGACGCGCGTGCCACCGCGAGCCGCTCCAGTGCGTCAAGCTAACGAGAGTCACGCAGAGCGTCACCGGAACAAGGGTTGGTTTTCAAAACAAAAGCTCCGATATTTCCCGTTTCACATTTCATTTGTATAAGCACTAAAAACTATTATTTTCCGCCCTGAGATAATACTAGTTGTTGCCACCAGCGCAATACATATAGACCAATAACAGCAACATCATAGCAAACAGTGTTGTTTTTTGCACGTTTCTTTCCACAATACTACAAAATTGAATGAATTAATAAACGAACACAAATTTCCAAAATAATGACTCAATCACCAAAGAAGTCCCAATTATTTATACCTACTATGCATTGCCATTTGAAGACCATTGTTTATGTAATGTTGGTTGAACAACGCATAAATCATAAACAAAACCTAAAAAGCTAAAACAATTTTACAAACCTGAATTTCAATCTAACCAAAATTATACAAAATAGACATGCAAAAGTTCAAAAGCTTTTCAAATTTGACTTTCTGTGTAAAATTCAGAAGCCTACTTAACATATTGGCTAAATTAGCAACATGTTTTTTACTTGTGTAAACTTGAAAAGTATGTTTTATCCAGTTCGCCTCATAATTTACTAGAAAAAACAAATATTTCTTTAAAGTTCTCGGTGTGATTTGAGCTCTTCTTTTATCTTGAAAGGACTGACCGGATGCCACTGTGATGGCGCATCTTGGAGTTTGATGATGGAAACCGTGAGCGCTGTCTGGAGCCACACTGTTTGCAGAAACCGCGCACCAAGCGACTGGACACATACACACACGCACGAATGCGCGTGAGGGACAGTGGGCTGTTTGTGTATTCAATTACTTTACTGAAGATGAAGAAGGCCTGGGTTTATTTGCTTTTAAGCCTTCCTAAGGCAGGTTTTGTCAAAACCGAAACAGGTCTCCACTAAAATAAATTTGTAAAAAAAATAGAAAAAAGGTCATACTCCATCTTTTTGCTTATTTACCTTAAAACCCAACTAAATTTTGTTCAATCTGGTGATTAGAAAGAGTGAAGATAAACAAAAATTTACCGTTTGGCAAAATGAATGCTTTAGCAAGATTTTTTTCTCTCAAATGCTGCAATCAAAATGAACATTTAGCTTAATATTTCTGTCACTTATTCTGACCTGCATTCATCAGTTTGATGAAGGGTAGGCAGACAACCTATTGTCATCAAAACAGCCAATCCAATCAACTATTTCATATTACGAGAACTCTTCTAGGTCACAGATAAACCGAAAAAATGCTGAGTTTGCTATGAAAATATCACTGTAATTGTGTGAATTTAATGAGCTCAAAATGCTTATTTATAGCTAAATCAGACCAAATTATCAATTCTGTAGAAGACGGACTGGAAACAACTGTTGAAAATGCATTGTTGTTGTCCTTTTTTAATCCACATTTCAAAATAAAATCTACATATTTTGTCATATGCATATGTTGCATGTTTTACGGGGGGGGGGGGTGTTAGTCAGTCACCAATTGTGCAAGTTCTCCCACTTAAAAAGATGAAAGAGGCCTGTCATTGACATCATATTTAGACCTCAGCTACGAGAGACAAAATGAGAACACATATCAAGAAAATCCCATTGTCTGATTTTTAAAATAATTTATTTGCAAATTATTGTGGAAAATAAGTATTTAGTCAATAACAGAAGTTAATCTCAATACTTTTTTAATATCCTTTGTTGACAATGACTTTGTTGGCAATGTTTTCTGTAAGTCTTCAGGTTGGYTCACACGCTGGTATGGCCCAATTCCTCCTTGTAGATCTTCTCTAGAGCAGTGATGTTTTGGGGCTGTCGCTGGGCAGCATAGACTCTCAACTCCCTCCAAAGGTTTTCTATGGGGCTGAGGTCCACTCCAGGACCTTGAAATGTTTCTTATGAAGCCACTCCTTCGTTGCCCTGGCGGTGTGCTTGGGATCATTGGGCCTCATGCAAGAAGATGTTCGTATTCTTATCCTAAATTTCTCTTACTTTTGTTCGTACAAAGGGTTCGTACGAACATGTCACGTCAGATTCAACAAACTCTTCTATCTTC